ACATGCGTGTCCATGTCCTTGTGACATAGGTTATGGACTTGCGGCCTATTGTTGGGGGAAAGATAGCGGAATTGCCAGATTCCAAAATTCTTAAGCATGCACTACACCTCTCTCTCTCTCTTTCTCTCTCTCTGCATGCAGTAATACATGACTATTCAGTTGTATCTTACATTTTATTTGGAGTTACCCCAAAACTTTAGATCAGGGCATTGTCCATAGTTACTATGGGTAAGACACCCCATAGAATGAATATTGAGCCTTCTACATCGAAAGAATTGCATAAAATGATGATAGGACTTTAGAGGTATTTATTAATTTCCAATAACTTCTAAAAATCTATGTAGGTTGAATGCAGACAATAGTGAATCAAGTTATGAATTGATGCCAATATGTTTTGAAACCTTATGAGAATTTTTAGATGATTTTAGGCTTCTGCAGAGACTTTCTCGTCATCTGTTGTCTCTGAACCTTCATGAATCCTTCAGAACCATCTTGTCATATAAGATCGTTAAAGAAACTTTTAAAACCATGTCAAAACCTATGGATCTTACACTGTGACCTTTTTTCGTACTGATGTGCCTTGGAACCTTCAATATAACCATCTAGAAGCTCAACAAACACCCTAACCTGCCCCTGCATGCCTCGCCCCCTCACCCCTACATCCTTCTCCCCCCCCCACCCCTATTTATTTACCCTTTTATTTTCGCTTGCAATGTGAATCTTTTAGAACCATCTAGGACATACCCCCTTCTTTCAACCCCTCAAATCCTCTTTTCAATATTTTGATTCTTATATGAGTGAACTGTCTTTCTTTTTGCTTTTGCAAAACACGCACTCGCTGTGTGTACTTTTGACTTGGGGCCTTTTAGAAACTTCTAAAACCATCTAAACTAATATTCACTTTCTAGAATCATTTGAAAAAGGAAAAGAAAACCCCTTTTATCCACTTCTTTTTAATCATCTAGAAAATTCTGTGTCCGCTCTCACTTGCTTTTTCTTCTTTTTCTCATTTGCACATAGGGTGACTTGCAAGCACTAGAAGACCTCACATATGACAAGAGGAAAGAGTTCATAAGACATCACAAGCTACCACCGGATGTGCCCGTAGTCTCATTCCACACGGAGGCAAGCATGGCACCTGGGGTCTTTGCTACCTTGTCTCGCGTTGCTCATGCTGAACTCCCCCGCCTCCCTATCCCCACCTTTGGCCCCTCAGGGAAAGAAGAAGAAGTTGAACCCACCAAATTACCTGTTGTTTTTCCCTTAGCCGCTGCTATGGCGGCTTGTGCATTGCACTTATATTTGAGATATGGAGAAAAGAGTGATGGTCTTGTTATGAGGAAAGATGCAGAGGTTCCAGGTTCTGTGGTGATTAGGCCGGACCGTCAAATGGACCATGGCTGGATGGTATATTCGAGTCTCAGTGATGATCCTAATGAGGCTGATGCCTCTCAAGTGTGTGAAGCTCTCTTGACATTGCTTGTGGAGTTAGCTGAAAAGAAAAAATTAGAAAGTGCCAAGAAGAATGAATGAAACCTGTGAGTTTTTACCATGAACTGATATATCATTTCCTCTTTTTTTTTAAAAAAAAAAATTATACATATATTCGTTTTCTATTGTCTAATGGTGTATTTGGCATTGGCCTGTTGATTAAGTAGTTAAGTTGTAAGGGAAGAAAGACTCTGGTTCACGTTGCAGGTTCGAGCGTGCCCACTCAACCAGAAAAGGAAAGGAACAAGATTGGCAAATGACCATTGTAAAGATTTGTGTGCGTGTAGATCCTTTCGGTCTCATCCTCTTTCCTATTTTCATTAATCAAGGTTGTTTTCATAGTCCTTGTGTTATGTCAGTTTTGATGTTTTGATCTTGTCTGCATTTATTTTGGAAATCCGGGAAATCACATGCATGCATCTGATACTTAGAAAATTTTCTTTTATCATGTTAAAATTAGAGTCAGGAATGGTGTACATACTATTCTCTAAGGAAAAGGTTTTAGTGTCAGTCCCTTGATGCCTCCACTATTCATGCACAAGTGACTGGTGATCGTGGTCGAATCTTGATTTTTTAATATGAATTCTATTATTTATTGTAAATAGACAATGGATGTATCAGGGACATAGTCCAAACCATATCGGAGCAATTCAAGTTGTGCCTTCAACACATAAAAACTAGACCTATTGTGCAGGGTGGCAAAGGGGGAGGTGAGTTTCAATCACCGGCAAAAGTAGGTTCGGTGGGTAACGAGTGAAATTGGTAGTAGAGAGAGAGATCTTTTGAAGAAGATCAAGGTACACAGGTGACTTGGTAGAAAAAGAAGGCATATGCCTCAGTAGAGTTACTATGAGACAAAAACATATGAGAGAGAGCAATTTTTTTTTTTTGATAAAGGTGAGATATTCATCAAGATTATGAAATATACAAGGGAGAGAAAAAAGCAGCAAAAAATGAAAAAGAAAAAAAGGAAGAGAAGGAGGAAAGCCGTGACCAAAGCGGCCACAAGCAGGTACACAGGCCAGAATCAAGAAGCAGTGGCCTGTTTTGTCAAAGAGTCGGCATCAGAATTGGCACTTCGATAGACGTGAACAAACAGTTATTCCCGATTCCCTAGTTTGAGGAGGATTTCATCTATGATCATGCTCAGTCTCCACGGAGTTCGGGACGGTTGGGAGCACTATAAAATTACATTGGCCAAATCTCTTTCAATGATGATCTTCTTGTGAGACTGGGCAAGATGAGAGAACCCCATTTCAACTGCCCAGAGTTCTACTTCATTAATCTCATAGGCATGCAGGTTGCTTGAGAAAGACCAGATTAAGGTGCCATTATGATGACGGAGAAGACCACCAAAGCCAGACCGGGTATCCCTAACACTCCCATCAAAGTTTTATTTAAACTAGCCTTCCGGAGGCTTAGTCCAAACATATTGGATAAACGGCCGACGATGTTTAAGAAATAGTAGGTCTTTGAAGGAAGAAAAGAGAAGGAGATTGGGGATAGCCATAAGAGGGAGTGAGGTGTAGGCCCACATGACAGCTAGGCGCTGAATATTAGAGAGTAAGGTAAAAATATCTCTCGATCGACCTTTGAAAGTTCTAAAGTTTCTCTTTCCACAGGGTCCAAAGAGAGGTAGCAATCGTAATCCTCCAAAGATTACAATCCAGCAAGGCAAAGGGAGGGCTCCACACTTCTTGAATAAAAGTATGGGCATCCTGAGACCAGGGGCCATGCCAATCAGCCATGCAATCAACCCACTCCTAAATGGTACAAGCGTACTTGCATCTGAGGAAAATATGATCGATAGTTTCCTTATCCTCCTTAAGTATACATTGGTGATAATCATTCCTTGTCTACGTAGTTGGTCAATAGTGAGTAGTCTTCTATACGCAAAGAGCCACAGGAAGGATCTAACGTTGAGAGGTGCCTTCTAGAATTTGGCCAAATGTTTTTTTCTTCAAGGTACCTATCCCTCCAAATTTCTTTATACATGGATTTAACATAGAAAGATCCAGAAGACTCAAGACTCCAAATCAATCTCTCTCTTCCAAGGGTTAAAACAGAAGGAATACAAAGCTTCTATCAGTGCTATGAACTGGGCTTCAACCTGATGGTCCACCTTTCTAATGGAGAGGGTAACATTCCAAACAGGTTTTCCATCAACAAGGGAAATCAGGTCTGCAACCATAGATATTTTTTGATTGGCCTTATTGTAAAGGTCTGGGAACAGAAGTTTGCGTGGAAATTCTCCCAACCATTTAGCTTGCCAAAATCTAGTGTCCAACCAACATCCCGGAATAAGCCTGAAAAAGGGGTTTGACACCTTGGATGCCTCTCCAGACCATCGAAAAATTACCAGATTTAGGCCCTCTTCTTGCATAAGGGCCATTGGGATCTTGTCCATACTTGTCGAGGATCACCTTAGCCCAAAGCTTGTCTCCATGCATGGACAACCTCCACCACCACTTAGTCAGCAAGGAGTCGTTGATTGCCTTGAGTCGACGAATACCCAAGCCTCCCATCTCTTTTGGTTGGCACACCAAATCCCATTTGACCAGGTGCTTCTTCTTTTATTTTGGGATCCACTCCATAAAAAATTGCACATAAGAGCTTCAATCTTGGTAATAACATACGCATGTGCCTGAAAGAGAGATAAGTAATAAATACGAATGTTAGAGATAATAGCAGTAATCAAGGTCGTTTTGCTAGCAAATGATAGGTAGCGGGCCAACCAATTTCATCTGAGCTCTTTGAATGAGAGGATCCCAAAGGGATCTAGGGGCATTGCCATTAAGAAGAGGCAAGCCCAAATACTTAGTGGGAAATTGCTCCACCTCGCACTTGAGCTCGGCAGCCCAAGTATGAACTGACGTGGTGGAGCAATTAATACCCAAAAGTTTAGACTTTTCCATATTAATACAGGCCCATGATATTAATTCATATAATTTGAGAAAGAGTCAAATGTCGTGAACATTATAATCAGACCCTTCCAAAAGGATCAGAGTATCATCGACATAATATAGGTGGCTAATCATTAAACTATTAGGCCAAGCATGCAAACCTCTAATCAAGTTAGAGTCCACCAGGCCCTACAATTTTACTAAAAGCTTCAACCACTACGGTGAAGAAGAAGGGAGAAAGAGGGTCCCCCTGTCTAAAGACCTCTAGTAGCTCGGAAGTAACCATTAGCTTTACTATTAATCAAGTAGAAAAGTGGGCAGAAGGGAGAGAACCTAATATCCATATTCTCCATTTCATACCAAAGCCCATAAGAGCCATAATCTTATCAACATAATCCCACTCCACCCAATCGTAAGCCTTTTCAAAGTCAATCTTAAGCAACAAGCTATTTAGACCCAAAGAGTCAATAATATGAATGGTCTATTGGGAAAGCAAAATATCATCCATAATATATTTATCTTTAATGAAGGCAGTCGCTCCACGACCTCATTAATAACCAAACGAAGATGGTTGGCCAACACCTTAGCTAAGATCTTGCACATACTAGAGAGGAGGCTAATAGGCCAAATATCTTTAAGGGGAGTAAGTCCTTTTTTAGGGATAAGAGAGATAAAAGTAGAATTAATAGCATGGCACACTATCCCATCATTATAGAACTATCCCATCATTATAGAACTGGTTGAACCAGCAATAAATATTACCCTAAAGGACTTCTCAAAACTCTTGGAAAAAAGCCAACGGGAAACCATTAGGGTTAGGGGATTTGTCCCTAGGTAGCCCAAAAATAACATTTCGGATTTCCTCAATGGCAAACTGACATTCCAGACATGCAACCGAATCTTGGGATAAAACCTTAAAAGGCACGTCCCCAAGGTCAAATGACAACTTAGGTTTTGACGAAAATGCTTGATTAAAATGATTAACAATGGCATCACTGACAACCAACGGATTTTCCATATCAACACCCTGGATAGATAAGTTAGACAAATAGGTGGTCTATTCTGGGAATTGGCAATATTATTTGGTGTTGCTATCTCCCTCCTTAACCCACTTGGACCTGGATCTTTGATACCAAAAAATTTCCTCAAGTCTAAGGAAGTTATCCAGATCTTGTTTTTTAGATTTCCTCACATCCACGGGAGAGTCTACCATTGACTTGTTCCAAGGAGTTAATGGTGGAGATGTCACGTTCAAGCTTACCAATGTTCTCAACAATACAACCAAATTTGGTTATGCCCCAAAGCTTAATATTATTCTTCAATAACTTAAGTTTACTGGATAGAACAAAACCTGGCCAGTGATAGGGCATAACAGTAGCCCAAGAACTGTACTCAACATCAGCCGAAGACTTATCAAATAAGCTCGAAACGAAAAAAGAGGGGGGGGGGGAGGGGGGGGTTAGTTCAAAGACCATCCCATTAGAATCCAAAACAATCGGCACATGTTCAGAGGCAAACTGAGTCAGGGCTTTAACCATAGATTTGGGAAAAAGCTCATCCCAAATATTAGATACCAGAAAACGATTCAACTTGGACATTTCTGGGTCAAAAGCCAAATTGTTCGACCAAGTAAATCTTGTGCCCACAATATCAAAATGCAGCAAACTACAGTTAGATATAAAACCATCAAAGAGGGCCATAGTCGGAGAGATCACAGAAAGAGTAAGCACTTCATGTGGTCCTCGAACCATATTAAAGTCCCCAACCCCACACCAGGGGACACCATTCCTAGAGATAGTGCTAGAAAGGGAGTTAAGGAACTCCTCTTTCTCTCCGGACACATTTGGTCCATAAACATTAGATAAACACCAAACCAAATCAGCAGGATCAGAAAAAACAACAGAGATACATCGAAAGTTCAAATCCAAAATATCCCCCGATAAAAACAGAGGGGTCCCAATGCGTTAAAAGGCCTCTAGAGAGACCAATAAAATGAGAGAAAGCAAAGTATAAAGGGCCACTGCCTAGCCTTGGGTGGAGCTTCAATCATTGGAATATCAAAAACATGTTCTGAGTTCCACGGATGAATATCCACTTTGAGGGGAGGCTGTGGTTCAGGACCAAAACAGACTTCTCTCCAGTCGCTAGACGAATTACAACCCTGGGAACTTTCGCCCAAAAGCTTCATTTTGTCTTTTTACAGTCGGTCAGAATAGCTTCTAGAAGCATGGGAAGAATTCCAGGAGCCATTAAAGCCACTGACCATCTGGTGAGAACCAACTGGGGCATCAAAGGAATCCCGATTGGAGAGAGAGAGCGGGTCCATCAGGATTCAGACCAAACTTCCCCATAATACGCCGACCGAAACATGATTCATAGCAAAGAGAGGAGCAAGGAATAGAGGGAGTGAGCTAATCCATAAGACTCAACTCGTTAGAAAGAGTGAGAGAGGCGTGGTACGAGAGAGAGCATT